TGTGCAGGCGACGTGGTGCTGCTGCACGAAGGGACAGTATGTCCTGCTGACTTGCTGCTGCTGCGGGGCTCAGCAGTGGTGGATCAGGCAGACTTCACTGGGGAGGCGGCGCCGGTAGAGAAGCTGCCACTTGAAGCTCTACCCTCGCAGCAGCAGCAGCAGCAGCAGCAGCAGAAGCAGCAGCAGCAGCAGCAGATGGATACGGAGACAGATTCGGAGACAGAGACAGAAACCATTACGTCTACGGGGAGGAGACAAACTGCTGCTGCCAGGCTGGCGGCCCTTTACGCTAACAGCTTTGTACACGCAGGTGGGGGGCTTGCTCTACCCTTCCAGCAGCTAGCTAGCTAGCTAGCTCGGTAGCTGACTGTGCATACAGCCAGCTAGCCAGCTAGATAGTTAGATCGATTCCCACGTAGATACCTACCTATCTGTCTGTATATAAGACAGGCTAGCTAGCTGTATAGACGACTGTCTAGCTAAGTAGCTAGACAGCTAGCTAGCTAACTGGCTAGCTGACTCCATAGCTGCTTCACCTTGAGAGTCTCCTGGTGGTGGCTCGGACGGGCAGTGAAGGCTTCGGACTTAGGGTTTAGGGTTTAGGGTTTAGGGTTTAGGGTTTAGCGTCTGCATGCGTTGCGTGCTGCAGGCAGCAAAGTTGTGTGCGTGACGGGGCCGAGCGTGCCTTTCATCTCGTCAGCCTCAGCTGAGGTGCCGGTAGCAGCAGCAGCAGCAGGAGCAACAGCAGCAACAGCAGCAGGAGGAAGCGAAGGAGATGATGCTTCTTTGTCAGCTTGTAGGGGGCTTGAGGGTGCATGCGCTGCTGCAGTAGTGCTGCGAACGGGGGCTTCAACATCTCGGGGGCAGCAGCTGCAGCGTTTGCTGTCTCCTTCTTCTGTAGGGCTTAACTACGATTTACATTTACCTTCTGTCTCCTTGATTCTGCTGCTCTACGCTCTCTTTGTTGTGGCTGTCATTGCCTGCAACTCACCAAACGCAACAGGAACAGCAGGTAAGACGCAGCAGCAACAGCAGCAGCAAAAGCAGCAACAGCAGCAGCAACAGCAGCAACACGAGCAGCAGCAACTGTTTCCCTCGCGTGCCCCTGCCTGAAGCTCCTCTCACTGAGCACCAGCAGCAGCAAACATACCAGCACCCGGAGCAGCCGCAACAACAACAGCAGCAGCAGCAGCAGCAACAGCAGCATTTGGAGCAGCAACAACAACATTAGCATGAGCAGCAGGAGCTGCAGCAGGAGTATGAAGAGGTATATATGATATTATTTTATTTTAATTTGTTTTGTTTTGTTTAGGGTGGTTTTACTCTATCTCAACTCTATCTCAGCTGCTGCCAGTGTGGGTACCCGTGCTGCTGTCATCAGCTCAAGCAGCAGCAGCAAAAAGGTTGCTGCAGCGCGGGGGGCTGCTGGCAGCAGCACCGCAGCGCGTTGCTGCATGCGGCAAAGTCCGCATCGTTTGCTTCGATAAGACAGGCACTCTCACCCAGCACACCCTCAAGGCACTCGGTAAGCAGCAGCAGCAGCAGCAGCAGCAGAAGATGCAGCAGCAGCAGGTGCAGGAGCAGCAGAAGTAGCTGGATAGACACCACAAACTATAAAGTATAGTCTATGAACTACAAAGTATAAACTATAAACAGAGAACTAGCAGATAATAAACAATAAACAGCAGAAAATAAACATTAAAATACTATTTACACAAAACAGCAAGCGCACATGAAACGACACTTCACCAGCAGTAACTGCAGCAGCAGCAGCAACTGCAGCAGCAGCAGCAGCAGATATGAAGGCAGCAGCGACAGCAGCAACAGCAACAGCAGCAACAGCAGTGCCCACAGCAGCAAATGCACAACGGCACCTATAGCACCTGCAGAAGCAGCAACACCACCAGCAACAGCAGCGGCAACAGCAGCAACAACGGCAGTAGCAGCAGCAGCAGCAGCAGCAGCAGCAGCAGCAGCAAGCGTTGCAGTGGAGAGGAGTAGCCCAGAGGAAGGAGACAGACAGACAGCAACTACGTGTGAGCATCTCCTTCCGTGACTTCTGCTGCTGCTTCTGCTGCTGCTGCTGCTGCTGTTTAGGGATTGTGCCTGCTGCAGCAAACCCCAGCAAGCCCTTCGCCTCAGAGGTCCTCGACATGCAAACCCTAGCCACAAGCTCTGCTGACAAGACAGGCAAGCCTTGCTGCTGCTGCTACTGTTGCTGCTGCTATCGCTGCTGCTGTTGCTGCTGCTGTGGTTGCTGCAGTAGTTGCTGCTGTAGCTGCTGCTGCTCCTCCTGCTATAGCTGCTGCTGTAGCTGTATCCGTTGCTGCTGTAGCTGTTTCTGGTGCTGTTGCTGCTGCTGTAGCTGTTTCTGTTGCTGTTACTGCTGTAGCTGCTGCCTTTGCTGCTGCTGATGCTACGCCTTGCTGCTGGGGTTGTGCATGCGGCTTGCGGTGTACAGACAGCTTCGCTACGCTCTGCAGGGCTGCTGCTGGCTGCTGCAATTCCTTGATGCTGCTTCAGGGGCTGCATGCAAACAGCAGCAACCCCAAACTCGTGGGAGGTGCCCTGGAAGTAGAGTCCGTAGTGCTGCCTGCTGCTGCTGCTGCTGTCTCCTTTTGAGTGTCTCCTTTGTACTGTCTCCATTTGACTGTCTCCTTTTTACTGTCTCCTTTTCTGTCTCTTTGTTTTACGGTCTCCTTTCTTCTTTATTTGGCCTCAGTGCTCTTCGCGCTGTCTCCAAGCTACACAGAGACCTGCTACACTTCCGTGCTGCTGCTACCTCTCATACCAGTGCTGCAGCAGCAGCTACTGCTGTTGCGTCTGCTGCTGCTGCGTTTGCTGCTGCTGCTGTTGCTGTTGCTGCGGCTGCAGCAGCTGCTACGGCTGCTGCGGCTGCTGCTTTTCATACTCGAGCTGCTGTATATGCGCTGCCTTTCCTACCAGCATGGCTGTTGCTGCTGCTGCACCTGAAGGGGGGGATGCACTCTTCCTTCTCCTGATAGGGCTTGTGCTGCTGCTGCTGCTGCTGCTGCTGTTGGTTTGAATCAGGTTGCTGCGGGCCAGCGGCTGGCAGCTGATGGAGACTTCTTCTTCCTGCTGCAGTGTTTGCGGCAGCGACAGCGGGCGTCGGCGCCGAGTGTTTGTTGATGCAGCGCAGCAGCAGCAGCAGGTTGCTGCAGTTGCTGCTGCATGCGCTGCAGCAGATGCACAAGCAGCAGTTCGTGCAGGTCAGCTTGCGGAGACCCCACCGCCCTACATGGCAGCAGAGGCCCTCGCTAGTTGGCTAGCTAACCAGTTAGCTAGCAAGCTAGCTAATCAGCTAGCTAGCTATACAGCAGGCCAGATAGCTAGCGATCGAGCTATCTAGCTAGCTATCTAGCCAGCTAGCTTTTCAGGTGACAAGCCAGCTCCCTAGTCAGGTAGCTAGCTAGCTAGCTAGTCAGATAGCTAGCCAAATAGCTAGCCAGATACGTAGCTAGACGGCTAGCTCTATAGATAGCTACACAGATATCTAGCCAACTAGCTAGTCAGCTAGCTACCGATCCAGTTAGCTAGCCAGCTACCTCGCTATTTGTCGGGGACAGCGTGGGGTGTTTGAGGCACAGCAGCAGCAGCAGCAGCAGCAGCAGCAGTATGGTGCTGCAGGGTGTCTCGTGTGGGGTTGCTGCAGGCGGTGCAGAAGTGCTGCGCTCGTTTGCCTTTAACTTCAAATTAAAGCGGCAGAGCTGCGTGCTGGGGGTCTCCCGCGAGACCTTGGCTGCTTTGCTGCCGGAGGAGACACTTAAGGCGGCGACACAGCAGCAGCGGCAGCAGCAGCAGGAGCAGCAGGAGCAGCAGCAGCAGCAGGTGCTGTGTCTGTGCAAGGGAAGCTTAGATGCTGTCTCTGCTCTCTGTTCGACGCCGCTGCCTCCCGGCTGTCTCCTCACCCACGACCGCCTTGCTTCGCAAGGGGCCTACGTCTTGGCTGTAGCCTACAAACTCCTGACTATACCCGCTGTCTCCAAACAGCAGCAGCAGCAGCAACAACAACGACAACAGCAACAGCAGCAGCAGAGGGGCCAGCAGCAACACGCGCAGGAGCAAGGGAACGAACAACAGAGCCAAGAGCAGCAGCAGCAGCAGCAGCAGCATGCTGCTGCTGCTGCTGCAGATGGCGCGGGTGATGATAGGCGTAGGGTTACAAGTGTCTGCAGCAGCTGCAGTGCTTGTGCTGCAGCAGAGGAGCTGCAGCGAGAAGCAGTGGAGAGCAACATGAAGTTTTTAGGTTTGCTGCTGCTGGGCAATGAACTCCGTCGAGACGCAAAGGAGACAGTTGAAGTGCTGCAGCAAGGGAGGGTCAGGCCTGTGATGATTACAGGAGACTCTGTCTATACAGCTGCTGCAGTTGCTGCGCGCTGCGGCATGCTTCCACAGTCAGCAGCACCAGCACCAGCAGCAGCAGCAGCAACAGCAGCAGAACCCGCAGCAGCAGGAGCTGCAGCAGCAGGAGCTGCAGCAGCAGCAACGGAGGTGTCTCCGACTGTCTGCAGCACCTCAGGCAGCAATTTGCATGCATCAATTGTCTCGCAGCCCCAAATGTGCAGCAGGAGCTGCAGCAGCAGCAACGGAGGTGTCTCCGACTGTCTGCAGCACCTCAGGCAGCAATTTGCATGCATCAATTGTCTCGCAGCCCCAAATGTGTTTGTCTCCTTTGCTTATCGGTCTCCCAGCAAAACAAAATAATAATAAAGTGAGGTGGAAAGAATTTAACTCAGGGACCGAAATACCGCACGCTGAAGTCCTAGCACACCCAGAGGTAAGGGTTTAGGGTTTAGGGTTTAGGGTTTAGGGTTTAGAATTTAGGGTTTTGGGCTTAAGGATTTGGGTTTAGGATTTAGGGTTTAGGGTCTAGGATTTAGGATATAGGGTTTAGGGTTTAGAATTTAGGGTTTTGTGCTTAAGGATTTGGGTCTAGGGTTTAGGGTTTTGGGCTTAGAGATTAGGGTTTAGGGTTTAGGGGTTAGGGAGAAGGACCTTAAAAGCATTGTCCGGGCTTCTGCTGAGAAGACGTGTGCACTTAGAGTTTGGGGTTAAGGGTTTAGGGCTAAGGGTTTAGGGTTTAGGGTTTGGGGTTTAGGGTTGGCTTGCTGCAGCGTTGGCCGGAGTTGGCGGTGACTGAGGAGACGTTTGAAATATTGTGCAGAGAGCGGGTGGTCCCTGCTGCTGCTGCAGTGCAGCAGCAGCAGCAGCAGCAGCAGCAGCAGCAAGAGGTGGAGACGGAGGCGGAGGCAGCTCCGTTGGTACCTATAAAAGGAGACAGTAAAAAGAAGCAGACAGAGAGACACAGAAGGAGACACTCCAGATGAATCTGTCTTGCAGGCGCTGCTTATGCGCATCCGCATCTTCGCCCGCGCAACCCCTGCAGTTAGCTGCTGCTGCTGCTGCTGTTGCTGTTGGTGCTGCTGCTGTCTGCTGTCTCTGCTGCTGTTGTTGCTGCTGCTGCTGCATGTGCTGATCCTTCTGGGGAGTGTTGTCTCTTGTTTGTTTTTATGCTGTTTAAACAGCCTTTTTTAGTTTGTATGTTTGTTTGTGCGGCTTGTTGGGTGTCTCTATGTTTATTTATTTATTTATTTATTTTATTTATATTCAGGGTAAAAGAAAAATAATAAAACAATTTAAACAAACAAACTTTTTTGTTTTAATGTGCGGAGACGGGGCTAACGATTCTGCAGCCCTGAGAACAGCCCACGTCGGATTGGCACTGTCAAAGGCAAGCTGCTGCTGCTGTTGCTGCTGTTGCTGCGGCTGCTGCTGTTGCTGTTGTTGTTGCTGCTGCTGCTGGCTGCTGCTGCTGCTGTTGCTGCTGCTGCAGTTGCAGTTGCTGAAGTTGCTGGTGCTGCTGCAACTGCAGTTGATGGTGTTGCTGCACATGCTGCTGCTGCAGCAGTTGATGCTGCTGTTGCTGTAGTTGCTGCTGGTGTTGCTGCATTTGCTGCTTCTGCTGCTACGGCTCCGTTTCTTGCTGCTGCTGCTGCATTCACAGCTTGTTTATTATTTGCTGCTACTGCATATATTGTGGGGTTGTTATTTGCTGCTGCTGCACATACAGTAGGGTTGTTGTTATTGCTGCTCGTGATGGGGCAGTGTCTATGAATTCTCTTTAAAATAAAATAATTGCTGCTGCTATTGTCTCCTCTCTCTCCGTTTGCTTGTGTTGCTGCACATACACTGCAGCAGCCACACCCCTAAACCCTAAACCCTAAACCCTAAACCCTGCTGTGCTTCAGGCCGAAAGATTATCTTTATGTTCGCTCTCCTACATCCAGTTTACTGGGGCCCACCACTATTTCTTCTGTTTGTCTTCTTCTTTTTTTTGATTGTCTTTTTTTATTTACTCTTTATACACGTCTTCTATATAGAGGTAAGAAATAGCACATATAATACAGCAGCAGCAGCAGCAGCAGATCCAGATGCTGCTGCTGCTGCTGCTGCTGCAAATGATCACGTTGCAGCTACCCCTCCTAATGAGAGACAACTCAAAGAGACAGAGAGACAGAGAGAGAGAAGGAGACAGAGAGAGACAGACAGAAGAGACAGAGGCACAGAGGCAGAGACAGAGAGAGACAGACAGACAGAAGAGACAGAGGCACAGAGACAGAGACAGAGAGAGACAGACAGAAGAGACAGAGGCACAGAGACAGAGATAGAGACAGAGAGAGACACGCACATAGACGGACAGAGACGGAGACAGAGAGAAGAGACAGATAAAAGAGAAAGAGAGAGACAGCGACAATGAGAGGGTGATGGAGACACAGACAAAGAGAGAGAAGAGACAGAGAGAAACAGACAGAAGAGACAGAGACAGGGAGACAAAACAAAGACAGAGAGATAGAGACAGAGACAGAGACAGAGACAGAGAGACAAAATAATAAAGCAACATAGAGAGACAAAGAAAGAGACAGACACACCGAGACAGAGACAGAGACAGAATAAAAGAAAATAAACGCAATTAAGATGTCTCTAATCTGCTGCTTCTCTTGCTGCAGGCTTAGGGGTTGATCAGACATACCTGCAGCAGCTGCCTCGCCAGGCCTGGTGGACGCGGTGAGTGGGGGCCTTCGTTTGCTGCTGCTGCTGCTGTCTCCTTTGCTGCTGTCTCCTTTGCTTCTG